AGTGACCGTATGGTGCGGGTTATCAGTCAGGACTCATTGGACCTTTTTTCTTTGCCTCCACGGTAACGGGAGCCGCCTACCTTCGCCTCCTCCGAGAAGACATTGTACCAAGCGTGCTGCAAATGTTCCAGAACACAACAAATTTTTATTTTCAACAAGATGGAGCCCCCGCCCATTTTCACCGTGATGTTATAGGATATTTAGATGCGGTATTTCCACAACGATGGATTGGACGTGGTAGTACCAGGGAATTTCCACCACGTTCCCCGGATCTAACTCCGCTGGACTTTTTCCTATGGGGCCACCTGAAAAATAAGGTGTATGCTGAAAAACCAAGAAACATGGAAGAGCTGAAGAGTGCTATCGAAAGGGAATGTCGGGAAATATCGCTTGACGCTTTACGTGAAGTCTGCGCTTCGATAGCCAAAAGATGTCAGCTATGCCTAGAAAACAGCGGAGGACATTTCGAACACTTGCGTTAGATGACAGCTTTTAGTATGCGATAGGTTAGCAAGAATTCACAATTTTGTGGGCATTGTTAGTTTAGATAAGTTTTTCGTAAATTTAATTTCTGTAAAATTGTGAAGTTTGCTTTTTTCTGGATAAACTTTGTCTTGTTGATTTGGAAAATTTCTTGAGACTAGAAGGGACGCCTTCATTGTCTGTAATAGTGATTGGTTTTTTTCGCGTATTTTTTGAGTTAAGCGAAGGTGCAGTATGCACAGTATGCATACCGTAATTTTTATCTTTTATTTTATTTTTATTTTTTCTCGAAAGACTTCGTTAGAAGAGAGTTATTCACAATCAAACAGTAGGCACATTTTTTACGGACACCCTGTATATAAGATAGTGTTGTATAGTTTTACAACTCTCTTTCATCTCCAACAATTCTTCTTTAGTTTTTTTGATTTTCATGGCCGTTTAAGAGAGAAAATAAGATGTACAGTACGTTTTTGACAGCATAGTTTAATCTACTTTAAACCACCAAAACGTAGATTCCAATCAAATTAGTTATGCACGTCTTTGCAAAAAAAAAACGTGCATGAGTAATTTTAATAATTTACTGCTTTCAATAACTAACTAACTAATTCTAATTTTTCTTCAAAATAGACTCTTTAATTACGAATAAACAGAAGTATTTTCAAATTTTTCGGTCCTTGGAACACACTTAAAGAGCAGCATATTTACTTTAAGCTCGGAATGACTCAGTCTGCGGGAAAAGTTCATAACTTATCAGACATTCAAATCAGAAGGCAAAATCAGATTACTGGCGATTCCAGACGCATTTAATGATATGTTCTCATTTCGAAAAGCCACGGTTACCAAGTATCTTCCCGTTATATAAAATTAAATGAAAAATCACAAGACTTGAAAGAAGCTTCTTTGAGCATTCCGCACGTAAACAATTGTATATCTTGTCGCTTCGCATGCCAGGATGTAATGCGGAGACAGAATGAGTACCAGAAAAGCGAACCGTTTGATAGAGCAAAGCAAGTTTTACAAACTAGCATTCGAACATATGCACAAACTTTAATACTTGAAGCTTGAAGCCAATATCTGAAAAATTGCAAATGTTTGAAAAATTGCAAAGAGCTTATCTTCACAAGAAAAAAAACTTATGCTGTTTTTATTGGATTTATTGGATTGGACCGTAAAAAATTTTTGCGCAAAGACAAGATTAACGTAGATGAAAGCATAGCTCTAGATTCTGGCTTCAAACTTTGAAAAAAATCAAGCTTTCCACAATTTTTTGAAAGGTTTTCGTAGAGCTTGCTTGCTCTATCGATCGTTATTCTAATTACATATTTTAATGATCATCCTGCGATAGTAGCGTGTAATGCGACATTCAATTCAACCTAAGACATATGCTTTTCTTGCTGAATCATTTAGCACAAGTCCGAAAAACAAAATTTTTGATTCCTTGACTCATTATTCTAAGCAACAAATTCGAATATTCTAGAATTTGACCAGATGATTGTGATTGTGAACGTTGTAAGTGTGATTGGTCTATTCATATAATGTCAAAGCTGTCTCCTATGCGCCTCTCAATTCTAAAGCCAACTGGCGGCTCTTATTTGCTAGGTGTTTTTTCAAAATCTTAAATGATTTTTCAGCTTCTCCGTATAAAATGCCTCGCAGCTGGACATTCAGATAAGTACACCACTTTCACCTTCGTGCAATTCTTCATTTACCACTTGGGCACATTATGCGTTGCTCTGACGATAAAACTCATCAAAGATATTACAGACCAACTGCCTGACAAAGTCAAAGCGTGAAATAGTGCTTCAAGCACTGTTAACATTTCCGAACCTCAAACGCCTGGTAAAGCTCTAAAAAATTTTTTGTCAGCATTATCGGAAGCTTTTGTGATCTGTGTCATTAAAATGCTCTCCGGAACACATCAACATCGCTGTTTTGTACATATTTGCAAATACACTTTTTTTCATAGATGTGGTGTGCAGATTTTACATCAGCAAAAATATTCTTAAGCCTTTTCTTGCGGTAACGTTCAAAACTTGCAACCTCACCTGAAGCCTTAGTTGTGCGTTGAGGTAGGAAGTCAAATGTCGTGTAATGTATGGCGGGTAAGCTTGATGCACTCGGATTGACATTTGAATGTTCGAAACACTCGTCCATCTTGGATTGTGCGGGTGTCACTAGGCAGTCTGCGATGTAATGTCAATGCGACAAGAGCAATGCAAGATAATATCGGTTATTCATTCCGCTCGCAGAAAATCTGCGGAAACTTACGCCAATCGCTAATCCAAAGCTAGTTCATGTACGATGGGTTCGACGGGCCAGCGCCGCGTAGTGCAGTCACACACCTGCGCGCGAGCGCCACCGTGGGCTGCAGCGTTAAGGGACCCTGCCGCGCAAAGCCGCGTGGTCCTTGATTCGGTTACTCTTCCTTCTTCTTTCTTAGCTTATTTGCTGTCCTGCTTCCAAATTTTTGAAATTTATTATCTAAAACTCTACTTCGGTGGTTTCGATGGTCCATCTGAGATTTCTTAAAGTATCACCGCGCGAATGGAAGATAAGATATTTGAGGTTTTTCAAAGAAAATGTAATTTAATCATTTTGTTTGAGATTCTGAGAACGCTCTTGTGCTCTTTTTCCTTACAGCTAAAGGTTACATCGTAAGTTGTAAACGTGTATCGTGTAGGTTGAGAGAACAGTTTGAGTGAACAGCACGTTGGCGCTGTTCAGTCAAACCTAAACGATAAAAGATATCATGTCCGTTGGAACACGAGTCGATATAATCAATCATGACATCCGGAATCAGCCTCCCGAGGAAGGCTTGGATGAATTGAAAGATGTTATGAAGCACGTTCAAGAAACTGATACTTCCTTCCTTTGCTGCGGAAAGAAAACCATATCCGGTATTAAGGCATATCGCATATGAGGTAAAAGCAAGAAAAATAACGATCAACTGCTGCAAAAACGGAAAAATCACGAAATACAACGATAAAAACAAGGCCCGCGATGTTGTGCGCAGCATGGTCACTGCACGCTGCGCCTACGGTAACGCTCGCGTGTAGATGTGTGACTGCACTACGCGGCGCTGGCCTTATTAAACGCATTGTACATGGAAATTGTAAGCTTCAGAAATGTGTAAAGCAAAGTTAATTAATGACTCAATTAAGATGACAGGCTTTGCAGGCGTTGTCGCATATGTATGCTGCTCGACGTATTTTGAAAAATCAAAAAGGCAATCAAAAGCGCTTTGCAGATAATATCGTTCTTGTCAATTTTCCGTTTAAATCAAGATGCAGTTGGCTTACAGTGTTTCTAAGGTTTGGTAGAATAGACTTTTTAGAGCTGTTTGTCCTTGTATTAATTTTGAGGTATAGAAGTAAAGTAGAGTTCCTGCTTTTGAACTGCCGTATGTCATGAATTCCTCAGTCTTGGTCCTTCATTTTCCGTACAAGAGTGTAGCAGTTATCTTAGCCTATTGCCTATTGGTCTTTGGTTCTGCCTGTTAGTTTTTATATGGAAGGTTTTGGGTTTTTGATTCTATACTTTGTACCATACATCAATAATAAGCGTTCCTCGTTAACTAGCAGTCTGGCAAAATACAATGGAGAGAGTGAAAGTAAAATTTTCTTGCAAAGCTTTCATCGATCGATTTGAAAAAAAATGGGTGAAAATTGAGTCCAGCAATCAAGGGTTTCATTTCAGAAAGGAAAAGGTACCGCCAATATAATGGTAATAGGAAACTCAGTGGCACAACGAGCATATTTGTTGATTTACGACATACTCAAAGGGCGCTTTAACGAACTCCGACTCTTCGCAAGAAACAGTAAGTCAAGAATAAAAGCCGTAGCTTATCAATATTGTATTAGATTGTGCTGCCTTGTCGAACGAGTGCCCCTCTTTTTCGGAAGCGATGAGAAAGGTAGTGCAACACGAAAAACCAGATATTCTCTTTAGCATACATATCACATTGTAAGCACGCATACATTTTTTATCTTCGTTGTTACAATATTCATTTAGAGCCGAGTCTTATGTAAAGCCTGTCGAGGATCTCGAAACAGACCTGATTTACAATCAGTTTCAAAGCAACGTTAACTTCATCAGGTATCTTTTTAACATCTGCTTTGGCTGTTGTTGCGCGAAGCTGAGGTCGAGGTTAATGACCATCTCAGGTGAAAACTTACTCTGGTATTCAAATTGCAAAAAAACGCTGTGATTCAAACTTTCGTTGCATCTCAAGTACGACGCTTCTTTGCAAGACTATATAAAGCATTTATAGCATGAAAGATTGTTCTTATTTAGATAATCCAATTTCTTGCTTTTTGAAAGCACTTATTACTGTTTTTAAGTAACTACACAAAATATATTGTGATTGACATGCCTTACTTCAAATATCCGGATTTCAATAGTGGTGCAGTTCTTGCGAGGAGACTTCAGCATGGTCTTTTTCTAGGCGATGAGTTTATTATAACTTGGCAGGTAGCGTTACTTAACTCTTTTATTTGCCTTGACTATTGTAAATTCAGCAATACATCGATCAAGCGCAACATCACAGAAAGCGTATAAGCTCACTAGTGTGCAGCAAATGCATCATCAACGATGTTGCGGAGGTATTTCTATTTTTGACATCTAGGCGAAACAATTCAGGCAAATGCCTGAGAGTATTTGTGAAGAAAATCTAAAAAGGACCTTTGTAGAAACGGTTCTTGTCAGATTAATACTTAAAGTGATGCTTGTTAGCTTGTTTTCTATCAACGGCTACGCGGGGGCTTTAGAGAATGTGCATGCTGTGTGATCTTCAGCCAAGACGTTGTGTGGAATTGGGAAAAGGGGAGAGGGGTAGTCGAAGTGGTGTTTTTATATGAAATGTATCCTGTTTTATGAAGCGTAGAACGCTGTTTCAAGTCTGCTTATTTTGTGAAGGGGATTATGGGAATTTTTGAGGCAAAAACTTGAATGCGCGGCTACATTAAAATCATTTAGAACTGTAGTCCATAGCCTCGAATGAGCCGTGATTATGCCAAAGCGCTTTATGCAGATAATACATCTAGTTTAATAAGACTATGCTAATCATCCCCCCTTGCAAGCGCCAGAAAGACCTAAACACGTGTTTACTTTGGCTAAACCCTTAGATATTTGCCTCAAAAAATTGCCAAGACTCCGCTTACGGAACCACTTTGCAGATACAGAAAGTAGACAGGGAATCAGCGTTCCCTGCACTATAAGACAGTATCCTGCACAGTACTCCACTTTGACCAAATACCCTTCCCTTGTTGAAAACTTCACGAAATTGGGCAGTTCTGTTGGATGAAGCAGTACTTGAGTAGAGTGCATGCTCTTTCAATTAGACAGATATCTGATAAAAAAAATAATTTTGAAATAGGCTTTGAAAGAGATTACGTACCATGACTGATACCGATTATCGTTTAAATTCTCTTCAAAAAGAATTTGATTATGGCAAATATCCGTATAGTCGAATAAATGTATAGATAATCATTTCAATCGGCATTCGTTGAAGCGAAACATCTTATTCGAATAATTGACATAATGTGAAAAAAAATTCAAAATTTCAAAATTTTTCTGGGTACGTGGCCTTAGCTACGCAACCAGAAAAAATTTTTGGTACGCTTTCAAAATTTTCGCGGGTCCACAACCCCAAAACTCTAAAAAGGGGGCTTGGCGTCAGCCACGCCCACGAAAAAAATTTTTTTGTAAGTCTAAAATGAATTTATAAAGATTATTTCAATTATGCACAAGTGCAGAAAAGTCTTTTGCACAATTTTATGACTCATGTGAGTGATTTCAAAATTCTCGCGACCCGTTCTCTCCCCCCCCCCCCGCCCTCGGTACGCCACTGTATCCTTCCTTTGTTAGAAAGCCACTTCGACCCCCTTGTAAGTGGTATCGCAAAGCCAGCAGTAAAAACATCTTGGTACATTCTTTGTCTGCACATCCAAAGAGCACAAAGCGGTTTATTGTAGGCTATATGTACAAAACGGCTCTGCGGGTATGTTCCGGCAGCGACGATCATAGTCCATTGCCTTGGCACAGAGGATTGCGGCTTCCAATGGCTATGTCATACCTGGGAACAACTGTGGAGCGCGCGAGTCTTCTCGGAGCAGAGCCCACGATATAAGCCCTGACAACGAGATCTCCTTCTGCCTGCCATTCATTTCTGATGAATTGAGCAGCGCAGTGCGGCGAGGCGTACATCAGGCGGATTTGGCGTGGTTAGAGTGGTCGATATTCCTCCCGCTAATCTCAAGCGCCAATTGGTTCGTTATCGAGCTTATGACCGCAAATGCACTACTCCAAACTGCATCTTTGCCCGTATGGTAGATGTGTTGACTGTGACTGTATGTTAGCCAGGGTCATCATTACATGCTTATCACGCGGCGACACTTACATTGGCGATACAGGACGTCCGCTCTGCTGTCGCGTTAAGGAGCATATAGTAGGTTTAAATGAGCTAAAAGCGCTACGCCACTAGGGGAACATCGTATTACACGCCATTTCAAAGCTCCAATACAAGTTACTGTTGAGATCTTGTCGTTAGAACCCGAGATCCTCACGCGCTAAACTTCAGAAGCGTTTTGGATTAACGCCAATTCCTTGAATGATTCGGAAGGAGGAGTGTACAGGTGCTCCTCGGACTACCATCTTGTGCTATCTAAGGTAAGTACTGTGCTTGTGAACATGATTTTATTAGCATTAGCTTTGTTTTTAAATCATACTTTGGTCATTCGGTGGCGTCTGGGCAAGTAGGTTCATACGATTTCGACTTGCAGACTCTGAAGAAGGCGAAAGCGTCGAAACGTTGGCGAGTAAAGAAGTGTTAGCTACCTTAGAAGTTCACTCAGCCAATTCCACTAATGGTCTAGCGCAGATATTCTATCACTAAACCGCTAGGCCATGCCACATCTTTGATGCTTGAAGTCACTCTGCCATAATGCACTTATGCATCAACACATAGAATGTTAAAACAAGATATAGTAAAGCCTCATTCATTTTCATTTCTGTCGAGAAGTGGTGGTCCGCACGGATTGTGCGGTGCGCAGCTGAAAGCTTCAAGCAATAGAGAACGGATGGTATACGCAATGATAAAAACGGACTGGTGGGATGATTTGCGTACAGGATAAACCCCGAGCGAAATTTGCCCTTATTCTATATCGGGTCCACTTACCATATGCCTACCGTACCCCAGCCAGATGGCACCTCCGCATGAAGGGTTCGTGCGCCGAAATTTCACCGTGGTTGGTGTGCCGAAACTTCACTGGGTCGAATTTTAGCAATGTTAGTGACTTTATCCACTTACCGTATATCTACCGTAATCGCTCGAAACGACACCATGCGTAGTAGCAGACTGTCCGTAATCTGCACCACAAATAACTTCACCGGTCCTTTTCAACCAAATTTTTGACAATCTCCTGCCTATAGTAAACCTAACCCCACCGGCCCTAGTTTTGGCCAATTTTGTGACTTTCCCCTGTCTACCGTAAGCCTACCGTAGGTCGGCTATATGACCCCATGGTGAAAAATGAGTATCATGTTCGTAATCAGCCCACCGAATAACCCCACCCCCCCCCCCCCTGAGACAAGATTTTACAATTACAAAGTTTTGTAAATTACTGCGCACCACAATACCCCCCCCCCCCGTCCTGCTTGCTGAAACTACAAGCAAGATGTACTCCGAAAAGCTTTCAACTGCCCCTCTTCTTTTGTGCACTAATTATCTTTCTCTAACCAAACTCGGAGTTATTTCTGAGTTTTACGATAGACCGAAACGCTTACCAAACTCAGAGTTATCGTAGAGCTGAGTTGCGCGTTTAGCGGCGCTGTTTCATGTACAGAGCTATTTGGACCATGCCGTTCTACCAAAAGTAAATCACCGATTACGGAGTATCCTGCCATATTATCTCTTTCCAGATTTGGTCTGTTCAAGCACCTGTAAAGGGGTCCAAAAGGTGCACATTAGCTCAAAGATAGCTCAGAGTTAACTTTGAATTATAACCAGGATCAAGCAAGAAGTGTGGCACACGATCGCTGGTTACGACCCCCCCCCCTCCTCTTATTGCTGTCTTTAAGACCCCTGAAGTATATACCTAAGATAGCATTACTTGAAGGCCCTGTCAAACATAACGGGCAACATATCCATAACTAGCATGTCAATTAACCCCTGTAGATATGTACGGGTGAATTCTGAAGCTTTAAGATAATGGATCACCTAAGTGAAATCGCCATTTTCTAGCATAATTAACTTTGTTTCAAAGGTAAAGTAGCTAGCTGTTTTTGCGTTCAAGACAAAGCACTACTCCTTCTTTGGCCACTTCAGAAATCTCGCTTCAAAAAACCTCCTAAGTTTGGAATTAGAAGCCAACCATCTTGTTTTTCCTATTTTTCGCTTCTAATGGCTGCGCTTTCACCAGATATTACTCAGAGCTAAGAAAAGAAGCAGGCTCAAATCACTCCTATGAAATCTATGAGGTCTAGGCTATCGACTCATATAAATAACGTTCGTTAAAAGTGTTTTTTATATGGTTAATGAACTGTGGCACACCTAAAAGCTGTGGCTGCCACAGCTTCTTGGGGGTGGTGCCATGCCCCATTAGCATACCTTCAAACAGATCGATTAGTGCTTTTTCAAATCGTTATTACTGCTTAACCTTCTTCTTTACATGGCAGAAATTTCATATGAAAACGTTTCTTCAAGAGCAAGGTATAATCGTTTTTCCTTACCTATGCAAATGTAAAATGCTGGTAAAATACTGCGAAAATATTGAGATACGGTAACATGCTAAATCTGCGCTACTACCTGAATCGCAAGAGAAGGACAACAATGTATATATTCGACAGCCTAGGCCTCGTAATCTATACTAAAGTGATTCCTGATTGGTCTTCTCTAGCCTGAGATATTGAAAACGAAAAATCGAACAAACGAGATTATAGCTTGCTTTTAATTCCTTAATTTGGAGTCATTTGCGTAGGATTCCTATGGTAAGCGAAGAAATAGTAGTTCTTTGTATTGAGCGCAAAAGAAGTAGTTAACATACCTTTGAAACAAAGTAACCTGTTTAAAAACGACCATCTCACTTAGGTGGTCCGGTGTGTGCGGAAGGCGACAATCCCCAACTTTGTGCCTATCAGAAACTCTCCGGAGTCAAAGGAGGTGCGGGAACTTACCTACCCGAAAGACTTGCCGCAGCGTACCTTAGGTATCACGAGCAGTCAGATACACAATTGGCATAGTGTACAGCCTAGTCTTTGTGTATTCTAAGCCCCGCCCCCATTCGCTCTTTTGCGATGCATCCATTTCATGAAACCGGGAATTCAATAGAATCAAAAATCGATGTTTAGCAACAATATCTGCTCATTCTCAATGAAAATAAGGATTTAGGGGTTTTCGTAGGCGCTCTTTTCAGATGTGCTATTGGATTTGCGCTGTTTTTTCTTAAAGAGCTGAAATTTTACTTCGGTGTATCGACTTTTGGCTTAAGAAATTTCGACAAAAAAATAAAGAATGCCTTAGGATGCATGTAAAACTGCTTTTTCACTGATTCTCTCAGATTGTTTGAAGAATGACCCATTTTTCTAGTGAGAACACCAGGCCCGA